ATTTAATTTTTCGCAAAAAAAATATGGTCCTATAATTTTGTTCCCCAATATTCCACACCAAGCATTTGTAGAATAAACTCTTTGAAAGTGTCCTTCGCGAATCCAGCGGCGGTTATCCTGAGCATAGCAGTGACAATTATGTTTATTTACAACCCCATTCTTGCTAAAAGATGCCTCATCACCGAAAAGTACGTTTTCCAAAAAAATTTGATCTAAAATGGTTTGTTCCAGAACAAATCGACAAAAATTAAGTCTTTTTGGATAATCTGTCTCTTTAAGCTCTTGAACCAAGGTGATATGATAACGATGAAACTTATTTTCCTTGACAATTCTGCAAATAGAAGACTGGCTAATGCCTACTCTTCTTGCCAATTCGCGTTCACCCACATGGGATTCCTTCTCAAGAATTTGAATGACTTCAAGTTCATGTTCCTCACCGGTGGCATTGCTACCCTTTGCTTTAATAACCTAACGGGAGGTCACTTAAGTAGTTCTCAACAGATCCTCTAGTCCTTTCAAAATCGTGTCAGAAGGCGGTCTTCTATCGGGGTATCGCTGAGCATAAACACGTGCAGCAGGGGATGTATTCTTCAGACATTCTCTAAAATCATATCTGTATTCTCATCATTTGAATAGGTCTACAATTTGGATAAATTGTAATAAATTTGTAGAGTTTGTCAACAGATGACAATATGAGCATCGTGGATTCAAAGTATGACTTTTAAAAGAAATATAACGAAGTAAGCTGTGAATCGCCCTGTATATAGGAGTTTAATATTTTATAACATTTACATAACCCTTACTATGCAAAATGATAACTAGAGAGCGGATTTTATGAAATTTGCATGTGATATAAGTCTTGAAATTTAATATGTGAACGAATCATGCTAATTAAAAACGAATACAGCTATAAAAAAATTGCATATTTGCATATATTTGCCTTCTGCTGCATATTTCACGTAACGGGTGCATATTTTGCATTTTTATCAATTTTTGTGCCAATTTGAAAAAAAAGACGAAATTTCATTAATCATATTGCAAATATTGTCCTGATCTTCAAATAACTAGTAAAGGTTTGGGTTTTATGGTAGTTTGGAGAATCCATTGGGTGTTAAGCCATTCTTGCAGGTAAATTTGGGCCCTGATTACTTTTGGAAATGCCGTTCATTCCCAATATTTTTGTTCGTTACTTAAGTGTATTAATGGTCTGTGTTATGGTGGTTGAAGGGACGTTACCCTATTATTTTTCATCGTGAGTTTGCATTGAAAGCATTTAAAGCGATACATGTGTGTTAATATGTTGAAGATAACTCAAATTAATTTATGGATTAAACCTTTTCCTGAACTTATTCTTCAAGAAGGAACTGTTTTGTCGCGTCTGCTCTAAACCGGTAAGGATTTTTATATCTGTGGAGGTAGTACACAGTTTTTCTATACCAAATATACTTTAGAATCATCGGAAAACTTTTGGTTAGAATATTTCGAAAAATATTTAAAAATAAATTGTTACCAAAATAGTAATTAAATAGTCGATTACTACTAATTTTGTAATTTGTAAATAAATTTAGTTCGGTTATTACGCTTTTTTTTAAGTTTTTGGAGCATATGCAGCTGCATATCTCTGCATATATTAAGAAAGTTACTGCATATTTGCATAAATTTGGTGCATATCATATGATCATATTTCCCTAAATTTTGCTGCATATTTTCCGCTCTCTAATGATAACTGAACAGAAGTGCGGGGCCTATTTTTTCATACTCTAGGGTTCAAAATCCGTCGAAAAAACATGAAAGTAATCAATCGCCCGATGAACCTTACAATAGCTCCTTAGGTTACGGTCGTGAAAAGAAAAAAACAAGAACAAATCCAGTTTTTTCGAAAAATTATAAAATTTGATTTCGCAAAATCTTTTTTATAAAATGACAACCCCAATAAAAAAAAAGTCACAATAACAAAAACACTTCTGTAAGGTTGGGATTCGAACCCACTCGGTGTAATACACAAGTCCCTACCAAGCAGTTAATGTTGTAAAAGCAAGATCATCGGCTACATAAACCACGCGGAAAACATTGTACAGAAAATATGTTTGTAATGTAATAATGACAAAAATCAAGGCGAATTCGCAAACCACGAGTACAGAGGTGTATTATTTCATTACACAATATTCCTAACATACCTACATATAAAATTGAACACCAATCGGTCCAGTACTTTCGGAGATTATCTGTCTAATAAAAATCGACACAAAGTAATCAAAATATTAAAAAAAAAAACAACCTCCAATTTAGAATTAATGCAAAATTCTAACCTTCAGGCTTCTTCTTCTGCTACAATTTAGCGAATCCCCTCATCTTCATTTACGAACCCACTGCAACAAAAAACACATGAAATTTTTTTGTACACAAAAAGAAATACCATAGAAGTTAACATCAACTTTATATCTACATTTTAATAACAGTGCAATTCAACATTACACAGGTTGAATAAGTAATAGATAAGTTTTAAAAAATTCTAATCAGAAAAAGTTTTGAAATCACAATAAATTCTAAGCAAAATTTTCCATTTACGTCACGCGATTCTTGATGAAGATGAACAGAAAAAATCTGTTTAACAGATAGACGGAAACGGAAAATCGATATTTTCACTCCATAAACTGGGGAATGTTCAGAAAACAAGAAATGAGGATTTAATAAAAATAACCCTGCTTCACTACATTTGGAAGTTAGTATAAGTTAATTTAACCGAAACTTCAATAAACACTTCCCGATAAACTCAAACATTGAAGACCACCGTTTTCAATTAAAATGATTGTCTAAAATGATTGCTAATTTAATGAACTTCTTTTAGTTGTAGTTAGTTAAATATGTCCCAAAAACAAAAATGTTTTCAAAACAATTCTGAAATTTAGGAAAACAATAACGACTATTGCAATGAATAGTATTATTAATTGCAGTGATGCGTAAAACGTAAAGACGGTCCGTAATGAGATAAAAATCAAAATTGGATTTAATTTTAATTAATTAACATAGCCAAAAACCTATTAGATATTCCAAATTATGACATCGGAAAAGGCCAGTTTTAAAGAATAAATATCTGACGAGATATTAACGGTTGCGTTCTTGTTGGAACAAACATATTTATTAAGTCGTTAAGTAACAATTTGTACAGTACAACTACTTCTAAAATTTAATAGAAAAGAACTGAAGAAATAAGGCAACAATACATTGATTAATAGACCGATATCTAAAGCCTAATAGCAAGACTTACCCTTTAACTCCAGATTTCCTCTCCTTCCGCGCCGATTCTTGCAGACTGCTTCCTCATGGGCACATCACAACACTCACCTTTCATTTTAAGCCCAAAACTAAATTATTTTTACAAAAATAAACCACTTAAACAAACTAATTTACACACCGCAGATGCGTTGAACAAAATCAGAACCGCAGAACTCTTGTGCGTAACACGAAAAATGAACAAAAAATTCTCGCCGACACCATATCAGACATTTTTTGCAGAGTTTATATTCATGGACGCATCGCACAGTAATTGAATCTTAATTTAAATACTGCAACATTATTAGCAGAACATAATTTTTGTGCTGTGTGGATGAATAAGAAATTACGAGTGTTACATACGATTCACCAAAAACAAATTAAAAAACTCGATTAAATATGTCTGTCGAAAATATTTTATTTTTCGACAATCTTTCAAAAATAAACAATATTTTGACCTAATCCAAGAAAAGTACCTTAGTTACGAACTACCATTAATCCATAAATTTCCACTAAATGTATGGAAACTACTATAAATACAATTTGAAAAATTTGCACAAACTTACCTTTCGCAAAACCGTTGTAATTAAAGTACGAGATTTTCCGTAAATAGACCCATGCCTTTGTTTTTGTTCCATAACTGGAATAACAGAACCGAAGTTCTTTTATGTATTTTACCTTTTTAATTAGTTTTTTATTCTGCCCTCGAAAGCAAACGTCTATTCCGTGTTTTATGTGCTAGTATTTTGTTAGGCTTGAAAAAACCTCACCTCGGGCAACTAAATCGGACGCTGGGCTTTTTCAGCTTTCACTAAATCTAAAAAGCAGATTCCAGCACAATAAAAATGACGAACCAATTTGTTCACGACAACGCTTTAGCACAAGAGTAAATTTTTAATTAAAAACATTAGTCGAATATGAAAGAATAATATGTGAAAATTTGAAATACAATAAGTTAAAAATGCAAATGACAGGTATTTCCTGGCATATGACGGTTTATTATATGTTTCTTCTAACGTAATACGTGTCGCAGGATCTGAACAGGAAATGAACCTGAAGCAAAACAAGAAGTTAAAATATTGATTTTCCGTTGGCGCTTTTTAAAAGTTACGCTAGGTTTTACGTTGTGTACTCACTAGAACAAAATTTAAATAAAGGACCACGAAAATATTTATTATCTGAATAGTAAAACTGTACTTCAGTATTTAAATACTTATATAATTTTGTATATTTTTAATCAATCCAGGTAGTCAAATTACCCATTTAGATATGTAAAAAGTTGTTTCAACATGAAAAATACTTGCATTATTAGTTTTTAAAAGTTGGAGTTTAGACACCTTGTTAAATAACTTCTTATAAAACACCATGTGTTTATTTAAACGCGACAAGCAAAAATAAAAACTTGACGAAATATACCGTTATTTTCTATTAGAGTTGTTGAACATTTTCCATATAAAAATCTCATCTGAATACATCCTCCGTTTTTTGTTTTTCGCTTTTGAATATCAGAGTTTTCATTGCTTCTCTTCCTAACGCTCCCACAACATTAAAAAAAAATGTTTGCTTTCTTGTCGTTCATATTTACGTTACGATAGACCCCACACAGGCAGTTCTTTAATATTTCCAGGGAAACCCATTTTTGCAAGTATTCTCTCCGTGCTTGAGTTACCCTCGTCTATCTACGAAATATATTAGGGATATATTATAACGTTAATGTTTTGTTGCAGTTCCGCCACAACGGCCTCGAATAGAGTACAATGGCACGCAAGTCCTACCAGGTCACAACTTGACCTCCCTTCATGGTGAAGTGGCCGTCATTAAGTGCGTATCGCACTATGGAAACCCACCACCTGTACTTAAGTGGTTTTTAGGTAAGTCTGAAATTACAGTATAGGTAGCATATGAAATGTGGCAGTTTTTGTAGTGTTATATTCGATTTTTATCTAATCTTTCAAGGGACGCATTTTAATTAGAATTTTGTGCAAATTGCCTGTTGTCCACTCCACGTTTACTTGATAGCACCATAAAACCCACGAACAGTGCGTTTTATGTGGAAAATTTCTCAGTGGTTGTGCCGATTCGTTAAATGCCTCTCGATTAACCAAAAACTTGGGAACAAGAATATATCCCACATTTGTTAGTACATATGATCCACATGTTTTTTTAAAGTAAGGTGAGGAAGAGAGCTAATGTTTATTAGAAAAAAATAGAAGAAGTTTAACAATCTTGTGACCATATGATATTAAAGTTTAATTTATATACATATACTAAAATTTATTTGTTTTATTATTATTTATTATTTTGGCACCTATTTTATTTTTTTTATTTATGCAGATAAACATTAACAATTTTAACAATGTACTTCTTACTTCATGATTTAAACTTGTACAAAACTTATTACAAATTTTTTAACAAATCGATTCCACACAATTCGAATGCGTTGTTTGATATACTGCTTGAGTCTAAAAATTCTTAAATGGAAGACACAGATTATTGACGAATATCTCTTCTGTTATAAATAATTTCAAAATTAAAAATTCGAGATATTTTCAACAAATTAACAATATTGCCCTTTTCATGTAGAACGCAGTCTATGGACTTTATACGCTTTATACGTCAATTAAAAGTTTACTGGAAGAGAAATTAAATAATTAAGTCGTTATTGAGAGGTAAATTTATTATTTCTTATGTTTAACCAAGTCTTAAAATATTGATTTTTACTTCCCAATCGTAAACTATTGATGTATTCTAATCGAGTCCATCGAGCGACTGGCTACTTTCATGTTTTTTCGACGAAAAAAATAGGTCTTTCGTTTCCGTCTGTCTGATCGGCCAATTGTTGTCAAATTTTATATGTATATTATCCCCACCTCCACCCCACCAACATCATCTCCAACCTTTTTTACACTAACAAATGCTATTTAAATTTTATAGAAAAAATATACTCCTCCAATTGTAGTTTATGAGTTTTTGGACTAGACATCCAAATTTTTGAAAAGAAAATTCAAAATTGTATAACATTTTACATTTTAACTCTGAAATTGCAAAATCGAATGCTCTGAAACCTAACAAACGTTTTAGGCTATCAGAAGCATGGTAAATCGTTAATCAAAATGTCATCTTATAATTTTGCTAAATAAATATTATTCAAATTTTATAAAACAACGTACTCCTGCATGCGTAATTTACAAATCCATCGTAAGGACCCGAGATAATAAAGGACGATATGGAAAAAGACCAATAAAAGCCGCATGAGCTACATCCTAACATATATTGATTGATACACAAACATAACACGTCTTAACAGTACGGAGGTCGCAAGCAGAGAGAGAGTTCTTCCCGGTAGGCTCGCTCGCGCTATGACAATGAGTCCCGAAGAAAAAAGTCGACGACCTGGTTTTCCGTCGCCACGTAATCCACCTCGATCTTCTTGTCCCTCAGGGTGTCCCGGACGAAGTGGTGGCGGATGTCGGTCTGCTTGATCCTGTTGTGCAGCACGGAGTTTTCGGCCAGTCTCAACGAACTCCGGTTGTCGCAGAGGACAATCAAATCTGCCAACTCGTCAAAACCTAACTCGCGTACGTAACACTGCCAATGAAGCGCTTCTTTGACGCAGTCGGACAGCGCTATGTATTCGGCCTCGGTGATGGATAAGCCGACAGTCCGTTGTTTTCTTGCTTCCCATGGGAGCGGGGCGCCGTTTAGCAAAAATTTGTAGCCCGTATACGACCTCCTATCGTCGACGCAGCTCCCCCAGTCGACGTCCTTTAGGTACCGTAATACCCATTTCGCCGCCGTCCAGTGTTCCCTCCAGAAACAACTGTTAAATTGCCCGAGACTACTGGCCGCGAATGAGATATCTGGTCGCGTAGTAGACGCCAGGTAGGTGAGGGCACCCACGAGTTCGCGGTATGGTAGCTGGAGTTCTTCGTCGACTCGCTCTTTGCGTTTCTTCAGTGTTGTACCTGGGTCGACAGGGGTCGCGACGGGCTTGCAATCTGACATTCCAAATCTCGCGAGCACTTCGTTAACGTAGCCATGCTGATGTAAGGTTACCCTGCCGTTGGTTTCCTCGAACTCTACCCCCAAACGATGTTTCACCGCTCCCAAGTTCTTGATCTCGAAACGATTGGACAACAACTTCGTGTTCTCGGTGATCTTCCTCGTATCGTCCACGTAGATTACTATCAACGTCGCGTTTTCTCCCAAACCCATTCGGAACAAACATGGGTCGGACACCGTCGCTGTCGCGCCAATTTCGTTCAAAACGGCGGCGGCGCAAAAGTTTTGTGTACCACCTTCCGCCGGCCTGACTTGTGTCGTATAACGCCTTCCTCAACAGGCACACCCTGTCCCCTACGTCTAGTTCGCGTAGCATGCTTCGGGCTTTCGTCCTCACGGAACTGTCGTCCTCGGACTCGGCGATGCCCCGCAGAGCCTTGCGAAACCCCTTCGGTGGCTCCATAAATATCTCTTCCTCCGTAGCGAGCCGCCAGGGAAGCGACTAATCAGATGGAACTAAATTGCGCCACAGGCGCGAAGGTTTCTGAGAAATGAACTTTACCTTGTCGGGGACGGTCCACAAGCACAAATATCTCGTTCTTCAGTACGGACGCTGATTCCGCCTAGACAGCGCAACGCCAATCGTCAGCGTCAGCGCTCTTCATCGCCGTCTTCATGGGTATCTCGGACAGGAAATTTGTCCGACGTCATCGACGACCTCGACGCCCGCCGTCTCCTGAGCTGGCACGGTTAGGTAGAAAACGTCGCGCCCGGGCGATGTCTCATCTCGACGGCGCACCTGGGGGACATCATCGACTCGAAGTTGGAGCTTCGTCTCTCCCAGGAACCAAACACGGTATGCTTTCAATTCTCTGGAGTACCCGAGGAAGATCCCCTCTTGTCCTCGAGATTCCAGCTTTCCCTTTCCAGGTAAAACACCCTGCTGCCCAACACCCTCAGGTGGGAGACGCTCGGTACCTTCCCCGTCCACGCCTCGTATGGCGTTCGGCCGGCCAAGCTCACCGTGGGCAATCGATTCCGCAGGTAGTCCAACAACCTCGACTCCGCCAGAAGACATAGGACGGTGTCCAGGAGGGTGCGGTTCTTCTTCTCTGCCGTGTTGTTTTGCTCTGAGTTATGCGGCTCGTGTACTCACGACCGTTGTCGGACTGAATGCACTTCACGGTCCTCGTCTTTTGGTTTTCCACGAGGGCAAGATAATCGGTCGTCGCGTTGAACACCTCTGACTTGCATCTTAGGAACCTAACCTCGCATCATTTCGAGTGATCGTCGATGAACTCGACGAAGTACCTGGCCATCCCGAGGGATTCGATCGGAGTTCTGGTCATCTCAGTTGTTACGGACGGCATGAGAAATGTCTTTCGTGTTCGCGTGCCCCATGCGTCGGTGTAGGAGCTCGAGAGTGACGCGGTTGTTTCGGGAACTCGACAATGCTGCACTCGCGTCGCTCGTCGATTCGCGCACATTGTACATACAAATCGCCGATCCTCTCCGCGCTTAGCCATAGCCTTCCCTTCTTGTCCAGAATCGCGATCGGTCATCTTGCTGACGAACATGAGGTTCGTATGCAAGCTGGGCACGTGTAGTCGCCCATAGTCTCGGTAGTCACGTCGTTCGCGAGACTTAACGTACCGCGATTCGAATCACTGAACTCGCGGAAAAGTTCGATGTTGTTGCATAAATGCGTTGTAGCACCGCTGTCCAAACACCAGTCGCGACTTCGATGCGTTGGCACTTGCGACGAAGCCTGTAGACACATATTGTATTATCCGTCGGGGCCGCTTCTCTACTTACGTTGACACTCGGCCGCCTTGGGCCCCAGTTGCCGGCACTTAGAGCAAAGGATGGCGTCATCTTAAAATTTTGTAAAGTAAATCGCACTATAAATGTGCATAATGACATACTTTTAGATGTGTAGTTTCTTAATCTTGTTTAGAGCCATATTTATACATCATATCTACAAAAAATTGGAATGAAGCAAATTACTTCATTAATTAAATCGAAAATTAGGTACTTAACTAATTTTACTGGAACGACCTACGTACAGTGGACATACAAAACTGTCGCCATCAAAATTTCCTTAAATCTCGTTGAAGCATACTTTTTTACCTATTGTTTTTCCACATCCCAATTTTTAATTATTATTTTAATACTTATATAGAGGTTAACAAAACAAAATCTGGAGTCTCAAGTTTTCTAACATATCTTAAAAACGAAACTTGTTCTTCAGGGACGAGGGAAGTTCTATTTAGACAACTTTGACTCGTTTTTGCAAACAGATTATCATCTACAATACATTTTGTAATAAATATGTAGCATTCAATTCTAATCTAAAAAAGAGACAAAAATTTATTGTTTCATACAATAGCGGTAATGTGACAAAAAATTGCCTGAAGTCCCTAAACTTATTTAGACAGAGCTTCCCTCACCCCTGAAGTAGGGGAACCAGGGACTTGTTATAACAGGGGTAAGTTGTAACACTAAATATTTACCCGGAATTTAAACTCTTTAACGTCAGGTTTTTTACTGAATTTAATTCTTGCACCAAAAGACATCATGTCATCACAACCACTGTTCCTTCAGCCAGCGGAGTGAGTGGATGTGTGCACGTGTTTCGTTTTGGCCAAGTAATGTAAAATATTGCTTTAGTAAAATTTGGTTTTTCGTATTAGTTACTAATTAATTTAAAACGTTTAGTTTTGCATGTAGCTCAAAAATTACTCAGCTTTGATATTCCTTACACATTTTGACGCTAAGCCACATAATTTTGTCGAAATGTAATTAAATGTAGAAAATTGTGCTACGGGGCATGTTGTAACAATATCCTTGGGGCAAGTTGTAACATGTTACAACTTATCCCAAATTCACTTCTACAAATCTCGTACCTAGCATACGAAAAGCGAACCAAAATTTTGACCTATGCCATATATCGCTTTCCAGATATATTAAGAAAAAGGAAGACAAAACTCAAATCTTTAATGTTGACTCTTCTTCTAAAAGTTTATTTCAGTTTTACTGAAAAAAAATTGTATATAATAAAGTTGTGTTGATTTTTGAAAAATAAAGTCTAAATATGTATCAACATCAGCTTTATTTTTACTGTTACTACCTGTCTCATGGCTGTTACAATTAGCCCCAACCACGGGGCAAGTTGTAACAATGCACTTTTTTTAAGAAAATTCCTGGTGTGAAGTGAAGATGAACAATTTTGACCTTTTGCTCAGTCCAATAGGGGAATAGTTAGACTACCGATAGATACTTTTATAATACTTTTTATAATTATATTCGGTTTCCTAAAAACTGTTACAACAAGCCCCTCGTTCCCCTACATTATAAAATACACAGCTTTTTTAAAAATTGTAAAATTTGATTTGCGATTTGTATTTTTTTATCATAATTTCTAAAGTTAAAATAATTAGTAAAAGTAAAGAAGCATGCTCTGCGTTTGTTTCAAAAGAGTGTTTACAAAATTTTGTTATGACGTCATTAACATTTTAGCAAGGACGCGTATATAAATTTGGACAAGTCCAGTATAATAGGAATAATAGCAGTACTGCATTGGAAAATGGGATGTTCCGTTCCTGTTGATCAATGAAATAAATTGCCTTAATCTTTATTTTTTTGAGTCACCCTGTATAAGTTACTAAATAAATAAATAAAAATAAAAATAAATAATAACTTATTGGAGCAATTTTCCTCCGACCATCTGTTATAAAAAATATTAATGCAATGATGAACCACAAGTACAAGCTCATAATATTTTGCATAATTTGCATGGGGGGAGGGGGAGATAAACGAATAACTTTTGATTAACTATTTACCATATTCACTATAAATTAAAACATTTGTGAGATTTCCAAGCATTCGATTTTGCAGTCTCAAAGTAAAATTGCGAAATGTTGTTGCCCAGTTTTGAACTCTTTTGGAAGAATCAGGATATCTAGGGTAACACGTCAAGACAAATTCATGAACCATAAATGTAGGAATATGTTATTTTATAAAATTTAAATAATGTTTATTATGCAAAATTCTGAGATGACGTCATCACATTATTTATGGAGATGAATAGACAAATTCTGGTTAACGTTTTACCATTTACACGATATTCTTAAAATACATATAAAGTTTGACAACAAGCGAATATACAATTATTGTTTCGGAGATTATGTCTTGTCAATAGCGGCACAGAAGACAAACGACAGATAGACAGACGAAAACGGTAGACCTATTTTTAATACTGTATGGGTCATGAAACGTCGAGGAGATATGAAAGTAGTCATTCCTCAGATGAACCCGATTATAACATTTCCGCAGCCTTACCTTCGAGAAATGAAAAATTACAGTGTATGTAAATAACAAATAATCTTATTGGAAATCATACTGAAGCTGTAGCAGAACACAGCCTAGTTAATTTAATGAAAAGAGAAAAACAATATTACATAAATTAAATCTTCGACAACCAAAAAACATTATTCAGAATAATAAGTAGGGGAACTAGGGGCTTGTTGTAACAGGGGTAAGTTGTAACACTAAATTTTTACCCAGAATTTAAACTCTTTAACGTCACGTTTTTTACTGAATTTAATTCTTGCACCATAAGACATCATGTCATCACAACCACTATTCCTTCAGCCAGCGCAGTGAGTGGATGTGTGCACGTGTTTCGTTTTGGTCAAGTAATGTAAAATATTGCTTTAGTAAAATTTGGTTTTTCGTATCAGTTATTAATTAATTTAAAACTTTTAGTTTTGCATGTAGCTCAAAAATTACTCAGCTTTGATATTCCTTACACATTTTGACGCTAAGCCACATAATTTTGTCGAAATGTAATAAAATGTAGAAAATTGTGCTACGGGACATGTTGTAACAATAGCTTTGGGGCAAGTTACAACTTATCCTAAATTCACTTCTACAAATCTCGTACCTACCATACGAAAAGCGAACCAAAATTTTGACCTATGCCATATATCGCTTTCCAGATATATTAAGAAAAAGGAAGACAAAACTCAAATCTTTAATGTTGACTCTTTTTCTAAAAGTTTATTTCAGTTTTAGTGAAAAAAAATTGTATATAATGAAGTGTTGTGTTGATTTTTGAAAAATAAAGTCTAAATATGTATCAACATCAACTTTATTTTTACTGTTAGTACCTGTCTCATGGCTGTTACAACTAGCCCCAATCACGGGGCAAGTTGTAACAATGCACTTTTTTTAAGAAAATGCCTGGTGTGAAGTGAAGATGAACAATTTTGACCTTTTGCCTGTTCAGTCCAATAGGGGAATAGTTAGATTACCGATAGATACTTTTATAATGGTCAAACAGCTAATAGATACCAAATTATATTCGTTTTCCTAAAAACTGTTTCAACAAGCCTCTCATTCCCCTACTTAATAGGAGTAATAAACTTCGTTTTTTAAAAAATGATAACTTTTGTCATATCTTAAGTACTGAATAAGATATTTTTCGTTACTATACGTATAAATCCTACGAATAGAAAAATGTATAAATGTGGTGATAAGCGTAAATAATAATGGAACTAATGTCTACGACTACTAGATAGATCTGTAAATCAGTACACATTATAACATTATAATAATCTTTTTTGGAAATAAAGCGAAATTTAGTAATTTTCAAAAAAAATATATTTTTTCCGTATCAACTCAGTGAACCAGCCTGTCTGTTGAATATTATTTTACTTACTTTATATCATGGCACAATATTTTTAACAGAATTTAATAATAATATGATTTTGAAATAATTTTCTTATGGACTAAAAAACAATTTTTTTAGTTTTTTATAATATAGTTAGATATTTTTTTAAGGAAACGTTTAAAAAAATATATATACCGTCTACACCGATATTAAAAATAGGCAAACCACCTGTTATCTTCATCTGGATAATTTCAAATTATCTATTGCACAACACTGTTGATTAGACACAGCGTGGAGAAGTCAACTTGAAATAATTAAGCAAACCAATTTGCAAACAAATAAGCTCGAGTCTGGAGCCGGTTTATGAAGACAACTGTTTGTTTACAGATCAGCATGAAATTACGCCTACGAAGCAACAGACAAACACCACAGAGCTGGATAATCCCAGAACGTGGTTGGCGTTATCGGTGTTGGAACTTACCATTTCGAAAGAAAATCATGGACGGACTCTTAGCTGCGTCGCTGTACATGAATCATACTCAACGAAATCTAGCAGTATAGAAGTTAGATTAGACGTAATGTGTAAGTATTGCGCAAGTAACACTTCATATTTCAACACAAAACTGAGATTTATGATTAGTTTCTGCAAAAGCTCCCCGGAGCCAAACGTTTGTTGTAATATCAAATTTTTAGTGGGAATAACGTGTAGTGACTGTTTAGTAATTAAACTGTGGAATAAAATTTTACTACGTACATGTCTATTACCCTGCCAAATCGTTGGTTGGTGGTCTCCTGATAGCGCTAATAAACCGCTTGATTTACGGTTTTGAATTATTATAATCATATTTTATTTGCGCCACAAATTACGTTTTATTTTATGTCAGGGACATAAACATGCATGTAAATAATTTTACACAAGAGGATTTTCTACAGATTACTTGGTTTAGTAATTTATCGCTAGTTACAAATATCCGTTTTTTTAATTTGTAAATTCTGTACCAACTATTCGTACGTACAACTACAGTAAAAACAGTGTCATCTAGAGTAGAGAATGGTAATATTCTATATCCACTTTTATTAATACTTTTGAGTTGCATTATGCGTTGGAAATTGTTACTTTCTGAATTGTCATATTTTTTTAGTTAGTATCGGACAACTTAGATCTTTCTTTTATATTCGTAATCCACTGCTGTAAGAATACGTGTCATTCTTTTGGCAAATCTTGTGAAACAATGAAGAAAAGAAAATTATTTCGAACCATAAATTCGTTAATAACGCAACTATTCTTTCGCTTAGCTGACATCTTACTTTACTTAATTTTAGTAAGAGGTTAGCATTGCAACTTACTTAAAAATACTGCAAGCTGTATTTAAGAATCTGACTACATATATTAAACCATTTTGTCCCAAAAATTACGCCTTTATAAGAATATGCTGTGAGAACTCTTTTATTATACTAATCTGCGGTGGCAACCTATATTTAGAACGTTTGATCATTGTAGATTATGATTAATGGCCAACGGTAGGTCTACTCCAATTTAACAATAACATTAACCTAACTAGTAGAGAAAGTACTTGGCGAAAGAAGCTACCTAGATACACATATTTCTGAGTAAATGTTGTCCCCACCCATTTAACCTACCACACTCTTAAATTTTTGACAACAATGAAAGGTTTTATGGAATTTGATATAATTATATATTATATACAGGTTCACCACTAAACTTGAGAACACATAGGGGATATAAAATTCAGCAAACGCCATTCATTGTTTTTAGCTTGAAAGGGAAACATTAATTTAATACATGGCAAGTATTAAATTAATGTTTAATTAGCCATGCGTTGCATTTTTCCACAATATATCAGGGAATCGGTTTGGGGTTATTCCTTCTTCAGTCCTCTACTACAGAAACAAAATTGAACATATTTTAGTGTCAGTATTTTAACAAAATTTTAACGAAAATTACCGTCACATGTTCAATCCTAACCTCACTTCTCATTTTATGTCGCATTTATCGCCTGCCATCACATACATTCCACAAACCAAAGATGTTTTACACTATTACTACATCTAAACAATCTTACCGTCAGCTATTCCTAAATATTATAATACTAAAAATACACAAAAATTACAAATTAGAAGTATCTACTACGTGGGGATTTTTAACATTCCCTCTCATTCGTCCTAGCGACTTTTATTATAAACCATAAAACCCTAAAATAAATTATATTTGGCTTTCAAATTTAAAAATATTAGCCTCAAACAAATTCTTATCTTAAGTAGGTACTTTATTCCATATAGCTGTGCTGTCCAGAACTGTCTGGAATAATTTCAGTTCTACTTGTTCGTTTACACACTTTACTTTTTTTAAACTTCTGCTTCTGATTCCTCTATTTTATCTTTATAATTGAACAGAATTCCTTTAATTTCTCATCACTTATTAGTATAATCTCCATGCCGTTTCGTTTCAACACCCTGTTTATTTTCTCTGATACATTGCCCATATAAGTGATACTGCGTCTAAATTTCATCTCTTTATGATTTTTGTCCTGACTTTCTTTTTTTTCTATCTCTTTAACTCTTCCTTCCCTTAAAATTATTTCTTCCAGTCTGTTTTATGATGTTAATTAAATTTATTCTCCTTCTCTTGTTCATGTAGTTTTAATCTTAATGTCCTATCTATTAGCGCAATAAATGCTGCTTTTTTATAGGTAATTGGATGATTAGTTCATTAATATAATTATATATTCCACGAATACAGAATAGATATAGTTATAAATGAATATCAATTAGACAAAATTTTAATATACAGAGTATTTAAAAACATTTTTACAATTTTCAAGTATTCATATTGCAGTTTTTTTAATCAGAACACAAGATGTAGTAATAATAAAGTACATTTCATTTGAAAAAATTTAAATATCGATATTTTTGAAAATTGTCATGATTTAATTGTTTATAAACTCTGTATATATTAAAATCTAATTTTATTTACACCGCAATAACGCGCGTAACTTTATTTATCTTTCCACAAAATATTATAACCTAAATTTTAAAACCAACCCTATTGCGATTTTTGTGAACACTTCCATTACTAAACAATTTCAAAAAAATTGGAATAACTTGGCAACGTCGCATCATAATTTTCAAAATAAACTACGGTTATAAACCATAAGACAAGGACAATCAGAATACGTAATAGTATATTACATAACGAAAATAGTAAACAACCTATTACGCACGAGTTCAAAAATTGCGCACGAGCCTCGTAGGGGCGAGTGCAGTAATTTAACGAGTGCGGAATAGGCGTTTGCATTCGAGTTATGTACTATACTTTTTCTACGACCACCAAAAAAAGCACATTTTAACAAAAAAATGTATTCCATTTTATCATAATAATTAACATACTACGCACCATTGAATAAATAGCCCATAAGGACGATGCTTTGAACTGTTTCGAAATTTCACCAAAATAAGCGAGAACAACATTCTCAGAAAACGATTTCACTTTGTTCTTTAATCTCCAGTCCATAAAATTTGTAGAGATTATTTCATATCGCTTTTTAGATTTTGCTGCCACAAGGTAATCTGTCGTCTCATTAAGTCATTATCATTAGCTTTGTCGACAATATTTGGTGGTGTACAAACAATCTCGGAATCTGATTCAGGTGACATTATGTTGTTGTAGTAATAGAGAAACTCACAATCCACAAAATACCTTCTTCAGACTTTTCTCTGACATAACTTTTGTATTTTGTCAACAAAAGTCAAACGCGCATGCCTACCACTACGCATATATTAAAGAAAAAAGTTCCTATCTGCAGATAAAAAAAGGATTAATTTAATACAAAAAAGAAGGATGGTATATGTAGAATATAATTCTTAACTAGATTTATCTTGAAAATAAAACACATTTTCATATTATCACTGTAAATGGTACAAGAAGGTGAGATATACTGCCAACATATTTTTAGTAAAACAAATAATTCCCTATTCCTTACACACAGCCATTACACACAACTGTGCGTAAAGAATCATTTACACAGCGACTAGATTGTATAAAATTAGCTATTTACAATAGTGGGAGTAGAAAAAAATATATATAGAGTATTCCATTTGAAAAAACTAAAATATGTGTTATGCTCTAAAAACAGAAGTCTCTGAATAAATGAAAATAATTTTAGGATATAGTGCTTACTGCTTAAGGAACTGTACAATTTTTGTGGTAGGCTTTTTTCTATTTCCAATAAGTAAGAAGATATCGAGGAGCGGGCGTTTATAACTCACGCTGTACATTAACAAGAAAAAATATGAAAACTTAAAATTACTCGTTTTGAGGCTATTATTATTTTAACATTAACCATTAAAATTTTAGATTTCTCAGAAAAATCGTCAGTTTGACGGCGACTGTAAGTCATGAGTTCATAAGACACTTTGCATAAAACTACACATGAATCTGAAGATGTACGTTCTAACTTATGATTTTAAAATAGGTACCATTAATGAAATGTCTACCTGTTTAATCGGCAACGGAATATGAGATTTGTCTAAATAAAGCTTGCAAAATGTATACTGGAAAGTTTATCTAGAGCGAGCGTTATTATTTTAAATTATCTGATATTCAGAAATCTCACTTCATATTTTCTTTTTGACACCTACTCTTAAAGTGCACCTTGTTCGTCAAGTTTTTAAGGCAACGATTTAATTTGGAGAACGGTTAGAGTTTCATGAATCACTTTACTAAAGAAAACTTTATTAAAAATTCAAGCAAATAAAATTGGAATTTTTCGTGTAATAAATTTGAAACTACTACAGTCTTCATAGAAGTTACACTGCGGTAAAAAATCGGAGTTTAAACAATTTCATATAGTGTTACTGAGCGATAGCTGCTAAAAATATTGCAAGAAAATTAGTTCTTTAACTTTGTCAATGGCATACAAAATTGTATTTTCACGAACGGTCTGAAAGACTAGTGTACTTTTTTATGCTGTCTGTTTACTGTAAAATAAAGAAGCCATAATTTGAGCCTTATTTAGTAAAATAGAAACAGCAAGACGCAATAAAGAAACACAATTTTTGTTTTTAATTTACACTTCATTTCCACTCTCCAGAATATCATTTCGCGTACTAATTGCACCAATTGTTCATTTAATAAACCGAACTGGTTTTTATTTTGTCTCAAAAATTAAGTTTTTATTCCCACGCGAACTTATTCAACAATGAATAATGGAATAAGATTATAATCCCTTTTTCCGATTTTTAGTTCCCAAGCGTAAGCTGAGGAAGTATTGTAATAGGATCCATCCGACGAATGGTAACTTCCATGTTCTCTCGACGTTTCATGATCCCTTTAGTACGAAAAAACACTGTTCTGTTGTTAGATTTTTCTTAATCAGAAAACCTTCGAAACTACCAGACCTATTGTTATCAAATTTTATATATAGAATAGGAATATCATGTCTTGATTTTTGACTCCAAACAAACAGATTTTTTAGAAAAAAAAATCAAAACTGCGTAACAACGGTTTACAATTTAACTGCATGACCGAATGCTCTGAAATTTTGCCCACGTTTTAAGGTTAT